AAAAAAAAAAATCAACCTCACCCCCCTTATTGTAAGCTCCACCTTCAGAACCCCCCCCTCCCCCGTCCACACACACACACATGCTGACCCACATCATCTGACTGAAAAACAGAGCACACGATGTTAATCCCTTTCTCTGGATCCCCTGCTCAAAAGCATTGCCATTCGTATGACAGCTGGCGGGCCAAAGGATTGACAAGCACAAAGGATATTTCAATCGATTTGATTGTGACATTGCGGAGAAGCGCGTCTGACTTTCATCCGTGTCGCCGATCAATATGACGTGCAGCTTTTGCCGGGGGCACGAAGCCAGTTTGTCCTTGAACCAGATCCGCCGATGACATGGCGACCGAGGAGGCGCAGGAGGCGGAGTCCCTCCCAGAGGCGGCCGCGCCCACGCAGGTAAAGAGCCGCGGCGCCTCGGCCTCGTCCTCGGCGCGGCAGAAGCGTGATCCCGCTTCCCACCTGCTCAGTTAGGAGAGGGCCGAGGCGTCTCGGCCGGCGGTCCGCTCGTTCCCGGCCCCGCCCCCGGCAGAAGGACCCTGAGCTTCGGGAGCGTGCAGACCAAAGTCACTCTGTTGGACGGATCCGTCTTCAGCTGCACGCTGGAGGTGAGGGCGCCCGTCGGCCGCGTGACGCGACGCCGTAGCGTGACGATTCACGGGCCGTCTCAATCGCGCGACCGCGCGGCTCACGACCGAGACGATGCGTTCGGCGCCAGCCGAAAAACGAGCGGCTTCGGCTACCGTCCGGTCCAAAAGCCTTCCCGGCAGGCCGTGTGTGTTTCGCGGTTCGTGTAGCCAGCGAGCGAAGCGAAGATTTTTGACTCGCTGTGCCGTTTTTTTCAACACGGGTTGACGGTCAATGCGACAAAAAAACCAAAGCAAAACAATCCACACCACCCCCCCTTTTCTCGGAAGCGCTCGACAGACGCCCCGAGGCCGGCCACACGCCCAAAACGTCAAGCGGGCTGTCTTTGTCCCCCCCGCTTTGCGGCCGTCCCTTCCCAAACGAGGATGTCAAATGGCCAGCCGATCTCGCGTCTTCGAAGTTTGTCCTCCGAGATGATCCTTCGGTCGGAGGCGTCGGAAGAGCGGATTTGCGCGGGGGCCGGCGATCGCCAACGCCAAAGGCCTTCCATATTTACAATCTTCACCCGCGCCAGCGGAGCCGCTGCGCGTCGTGCCAAGGCGGCAGCCGTAAATCGGACAAAATGGATTTTCCGAAGCCAATCTTCTCTCACCGCCGCGGATCCGCGAGCGTCGTCGCCCGCGGCGCCTTGACGGCGTCCGCCCTTTGCCGTGTGTGCAGAAAGGCGCTCGCGGGCTTCAGCTCTTGGACAAAGTCTGCGAGCACGTCAACCTCCTCGAGCGAGACTACTTCGCCTTGTCCTTCAGAGACGCGGATGACAACAAGGTAGGCGCGCCGTTGCGCCGCCGCCCGCGCGTCGCCCCCCCCGTGACCTCCGAACCCCGTCTCCTAGAACTGGTTGGATCCCGGGAAGGAGATGAAGAAACAACTCAGAGGTCAGCGAGTCTCCGGCGGGCCGACCGCAGCGGCGCCCCGCCGGCGATCGTGTTCCTTCGTAGTTTGCGATTCCGCTCGCAATTACGGATGGTGCGAATGGACCGGAACCTCGAGAGGTCACGGGTGATGAGGTCGACCGCGCGCGTGCGTGTGCTTGCAGGCATCCCCTGGAATTTCTCGTTCAACGTGAAATTTTACCCCCCCGACCCCGCCCAGCTCTCCGAAGACATCACCAGGTAGGCGGATTCTCCCGTCCGGCCATGTCCAAAAAGCCCGACTTGTTTGCAAACCGGAGCGTAGTGTGGGACTTGGGCCTTGAAGAGGCGCGATCGGGAGCCGCGGTCGGTCGGCTCTCGACACGAAGCAAAAGAAAACCGATGGCTCCCGATCGCAAAAGCTCCGATGACGTTGTCAAGGAGTCGCCGTGCGCGCAGGTACTTGCTGTGCCTGCAGCTCCGAGAGGACGTGGCCTCGGGTCGCCTCCCGTGTTCCTCGGCCACTCGCGCCGTGCTCGGCTCCTACACCGTCCAGTCAGAGCTGGGGGACTACGACGCGGGTAAGGCGCCGAGCTTGCCGCCCGCCCGGCCGTCCCTCCTTCATCCTGTCCCGTCCTTCCTTCAGATGAATGCGGCTCCGACTACGTCAGTGAACTTTGCTTGGCTCCCAACCAGAACAAGCAAATGCAGGAGAAGATCACGGAGCTTCACAAAAGTTACAGGTCCAAATGCACATTGCGTGTCCGTGAATCGGGTGAAAAGTGATGATGATGATGATGATGATGATGCGAAATCTTCACTGTGTCAACATTTGCAATCGTCTTTAGAGGAATGACACCGGCTGAAGCCGAGATGCTTTTCCTGGAAAATGTCAAGCAACTTTCAATGTATGGAGTTGACCTTCACCATGCGAGGGTAAACGCACGCACGCGCGCGCGCGCACGGGATGATTTCACCGTGAGGAATGTCCTGCTTCCGATTCATTTTCACCACTCTGCGTCGTTGTCAACTCCATGCGGGTGTTTCTAATGAACTGGCCCAAGGGAAAAGAAAGAAGGCCGTCAGGAAGCAATCCCATTCTCGAACCGACCACCAAAACGCGGACGGCCCCTTTCCCGTCCGGAGTCGATCGCGCGTGCGCGTCTGTCCGCTGATTTTTTTTTTTTTTTTTTTTCCATCGCGTCCGATTGAGTGGCCGCACAGAGGCAGCAAAGTGAATCGACCGATGCGCCCCCCCCTCGCCCCTCCAACTTGACAGCTTTTCCGTTGCCCCGGGTGGGCCTTTGTACGCAGCTTTTTGCCGACGACAAGGGTCGCCGAAAGCGTCCGGACGTGACGCACAAGCGCTGCTTTTGTCCGCCCCCCCTTCCCCCCCCCCAAACGTGGTGAAGGCGTACGAAAGCGCCAAGAGGCTTTCTTTGTGCTCCCGGAGAGTAAATGTTTTCAGGACCGGCTGGTGTTTGTCACGCGCCTCTTGGGGAACGGGCTTCTTTTATCTTTGCTTTTCTTTCTTTCTTTTATTTTTCTCGTCTCGTCTCGTCTCGTCCGTTTGTCGCTTTGACCGGACCAGACGGTAGGAAGCCGCTTTGCTTGCTTGTCTTGGGGTCTCCGCGAGGTAAGCCGCGGCTCCGCCTTCGTCCGCTTCGATTCGCTCCCTCTGACGTTTCGGGGACGGCGTCCGTCGGAGCCGCCGGCGCCCCTCGACAACCGCCTTGCGTGTGCGTAGGACTCGGAGGGCGTGGCCATCATGCTGGGCGTGTGCAGTAGCGGCCTGCTGGTCTACAGAGACCGACTGAGGATCAACCGCTTTTCCTGGCCAAAGATCCTGAAGATCTCCTACAAAAGGAACAATTTCTACATCAAGATCCGCCCCGCCGAGGTGAAGGCCCGGCCGGAAGATTGGGAAAGCAAAGCGGCGCGCGACGGATGACGATGAACCGCTCGTTTGTGTCCAGTTGGAGCAGTTTGAATCGACGATCGCCTTCAAGCTGCTCAACCACCGAGCGGCCAAGAGATTGTGGAAGGTGTGCGTGGAGCATCACTCCTTCTTCAGGTGAGCAAAGCCTCGGCGCGCCGCCGTCCGTCCTCCGTCCTCACCCGCCCGCGCCTTTCTCTCCTCCTCAGACTGCTCTCTCCGGAAGAACCTCCCAAACGCTTTCTCTCGCTGGGTTCCAAGTTCCACTACAGCGGTCGAACGCAAATCCAGAGCCGCAGGGCCAGCGCGCAGATTTCCAGACCCGCGCCCCATTTCCCACGATGCGTCAGCAAGAGGAACCTGCTGAGTCGCAGCCTCGACGGAGGTACGGCGCCCGCGCTCCCCTCCGCCGCGCGGAAATCGACACGGGCGGCGAACAAACCAACCGATGCGTCACGAAATGCGCGCGTCGAATCCGAGCGAGGATCCTTCGGGGTCCAGTTCGCCGCTTGATGCCGGCCGGTCACGTTTTGGGCGTGCTTTTTCTTTTTGTATGATTGATCCTCAGCTCCGAGCGACACGCCCAAATCCTCTCTCAATGGCTCTCCGGCCATCGCTGGAAGCACGCAAACAGGTAGAGAGCCATCTGTCGTTCAAGCACCAGAAAAGGAACTGCGATCGGTCGCAGTTCCGACACGCTTCCCCGTTCGGCTTGCGATTGCCTGCGGGAAACTGCCGTCAGTTTCCCAGGTGGCCGCGCGACCTTTTTTGATTTATTTTTTAAAATTCAACGCTGCCTGCCCAAGCGCAAGTTTCTCGTCTTTTTTGCGCGGCCGTTCGATGTTGCGTTTGCCGGACGGCGCGGACGCAAAAGGGCGGACCGAGTTGTCCCTCGGCGGCGGCGGCGCAGAAAGAACGCTCGCGGACGTCGGCGCGCATCAAATGATGTGATCGCGGGACGCCGTGTGCAATGTTGCTCCGACATCCCGCCTTCTCTGGCATGTGGAAACGGCACGGGCGCATAGAAGCTTCTCTTTTGCGACGCAGCGCGTTGGCGGGAAAGCATTGCAGGAAGTCGGCATCCCAAATGTTCCTTTGCGCTTTGGAGGCGGAGTTGCAAGGTCCGATGGGACCGAAGAAGATTGGCTGCTTTGCATGGGGCCCGAGCTCCGATGGCCTCTTTTGTCCATCGCTTTGAAGACGCATCGGCCGATACTTTTACTGTATTGGTGCTGCCGGGACAGCTCATCGTGTGCGTGCGTGCGTGCGTGCGTGTGTGTGCAGACATGGGAACAGGCCTGTACATGGTGTCTCAAGCCATCACTGTCAGCGACCTCATCACCACGGTGACGCCCGAGAAGAGGAAGGAGGAGCGGGCGGATGAAGGAAGCACTCGGGAGGGATCGTTCAGATCAAGTGAGAAGCAAAGAAACAGCCCTTGTGTTTTGCCATCTCATCATTTCATTTTTCTTCGATGCCAGTCGAGAAGATGCAGGCCGGCGGAAAGGCGGAGCAAGAGGCGGGGCAAGAGGCGGAGCAAGAGGCGGAGCGGAGCAAAGTAACGGAGGCGTCGGAAAGTCCGCTGACTCCCGAGCGAACCGACGACAAGCTGCAAAATGTTAGTAACCTCACTCGGAGATGACGCGCCGATTCCACCGAAGCACAAATATCGCGACAAAGTCATCTTCCGTCGTCAATGGGTCCGTCCGCGTTCCGAAGCGCTTCCCGTTGAAGGTGGGGTGGGCCGCATCCTCCCATGGCAGCTGACTTTTGGCGAGTCTCGGGGCGCGCCCGGAACTTGTCGGCAGCCAATCTTCAGTCGCCTAACCCTGAATGTCACAAGTTGCCCGAAAAGCGACAGAACACATGGCGTCGCTCGGGGGGGGGGGTTGCCTGTCTGCA